CCTGATGTATCTGACCGGGATCCCGTCGGGCCCAGTCGCGTTAGATTTAGCCGAGTAAACCGCCCTCACCACGCTCTCTGGCGTGACGTGAGAAAAATAAAAGCGGCCCTCCGGCGCAACCCGAACGGTAGGGCGCAAATCCTGCAGCGCCTCCGCATGGTCCTGCCCAGCAAAGTATCGGTTGATCTCGTCACAGTTAGCAGGAAGAGCAAATGGCTCCCTGCATCTCGAGGAAACACCCATCTCACTGACGCACCTCCACATTTCAGTTGTACTCTTGGAGTCAGCAAGCCTCGCCGCATAGTAGGTCGATATTGCACAGCGCGTCTGGATCTTTACCCGGTTCCGCAGGTGCTTATACGTCAAGTGATCGGCCGCTCTTCTATATTGCCTGTATATCCTCCATGCCCTATTCCGTGCTTTGATAAGGCGTCTCAGCTCACATGTGAGCCAAGGCGAGGTCCTACTTCTCGGCGTGAACGAACGGAAAGGCGCATGGCAATCGTACAACCGGTTAAGCGTCTCAGAGAAACACTCAACCTTATCGCTGACGTTTCTGAGCGAGTGTCAGTCGCTCCAATCGATGCAGCGCAAATCTCCCTCAAACGCCACTGGGTCAAAGCTCCGGAACGAACGGCACGAAATCACGCGCTCCGCACGCTCAGGAACCTCAAACGACAGCGCCGCCAAAAGCAAATTGTGCCTGGAGACACCAGGGTATGACTCCTGCGAGTGTCCACAAACGCGCACCGCATCACTAACACAAATATAGTCTATAGTTGATTCAGAGTTCACCCCATGATGCGTTGGCATAAACGGAAGCGGCTCCAGCCCGCAAATTCTCAATGAGGACTGGAGTATGCGGCGATTAGTCGTGCTCCCCTCCCAATCTATGTTAAAATCGCCAAGTAGAATGGAAAAGTCGTAGGCAACGCTACAGTTCATCAGTGCCTCCTCAACATCTGACCAGTAGCCAGCCTTTGGAGGGGAGTATACAACCCCAAGGAGAACCCTAGTTCGACCGAGCTGCAGTGCAACAAACAGATATTCAGATCTCCTGGAGTACGCACTCGAGCCGACCGAGCGACATATTACCCTGCATGGTATCGACTCGTGCACGTAGAGCGCCACGCCACCACCCATCTTACCAAGGCGATCCGCATGGAGCAGCTTATAGTTCCTTATGAAAAAGCGTGCAGATGAACCATCAGGATCAAGCCAGGACTCAGTAATTGCCAGCAAATGAAGTCGGTGCCCTGTAATAATATCTAAAATGTCCGTAAAGTGTGCGTTAAGTGACTGAGCGTTGATATGGCCAATATTGAATGCAGTGCTATCACGTAGATCCATAATCGATAGATCCATAATCAATGAGTCGGATTCGTCGCTCCACTTTCCTTCGCAAAATAGGACATTTAGCCTTGTCAAATGCAGAGTGAGAAAGTATGTTCACGACAGATGCCATGCAATTGCAACATTTATTATTGTCTTTATTTCTCACTGCACACTTACTGCTGGAGTGCTTGCCTGCACAATAGCCGCAGCACGGTTCATTTGGGCAATTATCGACAATATGACCATATCCCGCACACTTGAAGCACTGCATGATGTTAATGTGGTCTTCAACGCGGCATCTTGTCCAATTAATGCTGACTTTTTGCTGTCGCAGCAACTCCAGTCTATGCTCCGGCTTAACCTCAACCACACATGAACGCAGTCTCTTCTTAGCTGCTGGATACAGGTAGACAGGCCTAACATCATCTAAAGTCGCCTCTCTCAGATTCTGCATGGCAATACATGCGGCGATCTCCTCCTTCTCCAGTTTGACGGGGATATCGTGCACGATTAGGCGCGGGCGCAATTTCTCGTCAGGCCTTACCTCAAGCCCGGCTTGCAGAAAATCAGGGCACTGCGAAAAAGCCTGTGCAGTCAGGCCACCCCCCTCCAGGATCACGGAGTTTCCAGGGCCGTACTCGACGCGCTTAATGTTGAGTTTTAGCTGTGCCGGCCGCACCACACTCAGCAATGCCTGCTTAGTTGCGGCAGATGAGGTAAGTCTGTCCACGGCATCCTTCGATGGCCCAACGACAATACGGCTCTCACGCGCTATAGGCACAGCCTTACCACCGCTGAGCGTAACCTTATGCGCCGGGCGGTCCCAACGCGGCACACCCGCCACCGCAGCAGCATAGGAGCCCCGTGGGCCGTCTACTCGCGTAGAATCGGGTTGCCGCGCAGAATTGCCAAACGCTGAAACCGCCTCGCCCACAGTCTTACATGGCCGGTCAAGGATTGCCTCGTAGTGTTTTCCTGTATTGGCGACCGTTAGCTGTTGAACATAGGCGTTTGACAAGTGCAAGAGTGCCTCGTCGATTCCCCTTAAAGCCTCTTGCAGTTTCTTGTATCTCGGTGCTTCCTTCTCCGTGCGAAAAAGTTCAATCAAAGTATCGCGATGCTCACCGATCCTGTGAGCAATGTTGGTGACGTCACCGATTGTCAACAAAGGCTCCAACAGAGGGGGGTCAGACGGTGTGGCCCCTTCCTTGTTCTCATCTTCATAACTTTCTTCGCGCTGTCGCTTCGACGCGCGCTCGGACATCGCGCGCCGTCACAACAATAACAGACACATACAGTACACAGATTATATGAAACCAAAAGTGAAGGCACACACTATTAGAGTACACAAGAACTACACAGGCACAGTGAAAAATGGCGAAGACCCAAAAATCCCGCAGCGGTACGACAAGAATCGCGAATTCACAAGGCCCGAACGGGCAGACAGAGTCAAAAACGCGGCCAGCAACGGTCCACACCTCCGCTCACGCGGAAACAACTCTTAAGGGATACAGGCACAAGAAGCCGATTACACAGAACGAAAAATACACGGAGCAACAGAAAGCAACGTCCATCGCGCGCGCCTCTCTCCCAACGTAGTAGTGGCGATGTAAACAACAATAAGTTAACCAGGGCTTACAATGGATAAATAATAAATGATTTGATAAAATTTATTCATATATACAATAATTTTATAATAAAGAAATAAANATTTATCAGAAGTTCAGATTTTGAAAAGTTTGGTAACTTTTTATAATTATGTTTAATTCGGAAAAGGTACTAAAAAATTGGAGTTCACTAATTCAAACAAGACACATTAAAGAAAAAAATATGAATGTATCTATAGTAAAAGGTATACTGTTACAAATAAGGAAGAAGAATGCAATGAATGGGAAAGCAAAATTTTGTGGGTCATGGTATGCCTATAGAAAATTTCTCTCTCTCTCTCTCTCTCTTTCAATCTCTTTCTTTCTCTATCTCTTTCTGTCAACTATACATACAATCAGGGCGCTAGAGCATTAGAGGGTGGTGATCCTTTATAGCAATACGATATTTAGTTAAAAATTTTAAGAAAAATACGTAGAGTAACGCCCTATATCGTCGGCTTCGATAGAGATACGTGGTGTTGTTTTTTATTGCAAAATAGCTTGAAAAATGGCTTTTTTTCAGTTTTTATTGAATTAATTTAATTGCAAAAAATTAAAATGCATGAAAATACATATTGTAGTATTTAAAATTCAATGAAAATTAAAAATTTTATAGATATCAGTATGGTTTTTATTGTACGCCAAGTCCGGCCTTGTATTTTTAGTTTTTTGTTGATAACTTTTTTGTTTGTTTATTTAAAAAATTGAATGTTTGCGGTGGTAAAGATAATGTTATTCCTCACTGATTTCAAAAAATTAGGTATCGATGGCATGCTCGTAACACACTTTATAAACAATCGAAATTTTTAATTAACAAGTTTACAATAGGCCGCCGTTTTGAAATTTTGTGACCAAACTTGACGTACAATAAAAACCATACTAGTGTCTATAAAATGCTCGATTTTTATTCAATTTTGAATATTGCAACATGTATTTTCATGCATTTTAATTTTTTTGCGTTTTTTGGCTTTCTCATTTGTTTAACCAATAGAAAAAATTTTATAATCTTTTTTAACACTTGATCCTCATGTAAAATCATTAGATAAATAACTTTTGTATTTAACATTTTACTCCAAAACTAAAATTTTCCGAGATATTTAATAAAAACTGCGCTTGACCAATCCCTGATTTTAATTTCCAATCGGGAAATTATTATAAATCGAGTGACGTTACTGAACGGGTAAGAAAATTTGAAAGTAAAATTAGGCTCAAAAAACTCTAAAATTAAATTGGTCAAGTAGTAATTTTCAAGACAAACGGCGTGAAAATTTGAAGTTTAAAAATTCACGTGCTCTAAATATAATAAGTGCTAATGTGAATGAGAGTGCAACAGGAGAAATTTGTCAACGTGAATGCCTTGTGTAAAGAGACAGAGAGATAATTATTGTAGCTATTTATATATCATCTAATACTTCTATTCACAAAATAATTACATTTATTTAAGAACAACTATTAATGTATACAGACGAGTGTTCTGCAATACTTCAAAAAGATTATAAGATTTCTATAGTAGTAAGCAGAGATTTTAATGTTAACTCTTATTCCGAAGATGCTGTAGCATTAATTCAAATTTTAGAAGAAAAATTTAACTTAAATATGATTAATGACCCATTGCAACCGACCACTAAATATGGAACAATCATCGATGTCGTCTTTGTTCCTTATTTAGATAAAATTGCATCACTGATGTATATTTTATATTTTTTGGACCACAAGCCCATAGTTACAGCTGTTAAAGGCCGAAATGAGATTTCAGGTTCAATTACAGAATTTAATTATAAATGAGCATTAACAAATGTTGTATTGTTTAAGTAAAATAATGTTAATAACCAATTGCTTACAAATTATATAATTTAAAGAACAAGTTTCTTTATAAAAAATCTCAAGTAAGCTTCGCTACTTCCATGGGTCCCGTAACTCATAGATTTTTTAAAATTATGTGTCTTATTGCAAGAAACATGATAAATTATAAATCTCTGACAATTGAGCTAATATAAATTTTTTATTGGTGGTTTTTAGATTCTCGGCGCTCCAGATCTTGTTGACGGACTATACATTCGCTACCGCGAAATGTCAGATCAGCCGCCTGAATATCAAATGGTTACTGTTATGAACGCTGGAGCCACTAGCTACGTACTGACAGGCTTAAAAAAGTATACGCGTTATGAATTTTTTCTGGTGCCATTTTATAAAACCATCGAAGGAAGGCCAAGTAATGTAAGACTCGCAATGACGCTTGAAGACATACCATCGAGCCCACCACAGGACGTTCACGTTGGCATGATAAATTCAACGTCAGCATTCGTTAGATGGTCCCCACCTCCAAAAAATAACCACAATGGACAGCTGGTTGGATATAAGGTAATCAAAATTATGAGTCATGTTATATGCAAATTTCAGTATGTGAGACTGCATACATGTGATTTAGTATTAAGGTACGCAAAGAGAAAAATCATGGGTTTGGCCAATAACGGCTATGGAAAGCCCCTCTCCCTTCTTTCCACTCAGAAACAGTACGTTCGAATCATAAGGTCAATGCTTTTTACAGTTTAAATAAAAAACATTTTTTACTTGTTATTTGGCTCACTTTAAAAGAAAAAGGTATTTTCAATTTTTTTTGTCGAGGGCTTAAGTTTTGCCTATAAAAATAATAATAATTCATAATTATAATTCATTCGTCCCCGATGGCACTTATCTGACTTCGCATGCTTCGCAGATCCCTCGAACCGCAAAATAGCCTTGGTGCGATAGCGCTTATGTGGTGAATCCTATTTTTCCTAGCGAAGGCATACCAGTCTTTCATAAACGCCCAAGGTAGGAAAAAAAATGTTTTTGTAAGACCCATGAGTGCAAAGTGCGGCAAGCCCTTCGTGACCTCAAATCTATTTTCGTAGAAACTACTTTTATGTCATTACGACAATTGGTTTTTTTAGGTAAAAGACTTATGCAATTCATCTGTGAAACGGTATGGTTTTGCAATAAAAAATTTAAAAGAACCGATTAAAAAAATGTTATTCTGTTAAAAAACTGCTATTCTGTGTATTAATAAATGTTTTTAAAAGTCTTTTCATAGTTGGGAATTTTTTAAGCACATAACTGTTTATTTCTTTTTTTTTAACTTTTCAAACTTTTTATCTTTTTTTAATATTGGTTTATTCACTTAAGATTTAACAAATACATTATTACATTTCCATTGCATTTTATTATTTCAAAAATTTTCATTCGTACACTGAAAAAAGTAGTGTTGTAAAAGTTATTATAACTACACTGAAAATTACTATATTTTTAGGAAAGCTAAGCTACACTCACCTGATGACGCAAAATTATTACGTTTAGAATAATTTTTATTATATTTTAAGCAATTTTTATTATGCACTAGCCCTACAAAAATTATTTCATGGCACAACAAAAATTACTATGTCTAACATAGTAAAAATTCTGATAGTACAATTTTTACTACTCAACGGAGTAAATTTTACTGTAATCGTTTTAAAACGTACCACATTTTAAAGTCGAATTTGCTATGTGACATAGTAAAATTTCTCATTTCACTGCATTGCTATTCAGTATAGTAAAAATTACTATGTTCAAAAGTAATTTTATACGGCGTTTATAGGTATACATGCCTATTGAGTTTTAAATTTGAAGTTATACTAATATAAATTATATGAGAAACATATTAAGAATTAATACGTGCTGACAACTAATTTTGAATCGACTAATTATCCGTTGTTAACACGTTATTTTACAGAAAACCCTTTAATTTTTCAACTTTATTGTGTGTATGATAAACAGTAAACATTCCCACATGTACTTTATTCACACTCGCGCAGACATTATGTTCCGTGGTCTAGTGGTTTCCAAATCTGACTCGGAAGCTCAAGGATAAAGGATCAAATCCCAGTCACAGCGGATCTTTTTTAAAATAAAAATATTTTTAATATACATCAATATCTATGTACAATGAGGAAAACATATCTATATACATTTAAATCTATGTATTTTAATCTTCTAATAAACATATATATGCACTAGACAATGGTAAAGATAATGTTATTCCTCACTGATTTCAAAAAATTAGGTATCGATGGCATGCTCGTAACACACTTTATAAACAATCGAAATTTTTAATTAACAAGTTTACAATAGGCCGCCGTTTTGAAATTTTGTGACCAAACTTGACGTACAATAAAAACCATACTAGTGTCTATAAAATGCTCGATTTTTATTCAATTTTGAATATTGCAACATGTATTTTCATGCATTTTAATTTTTTTGCGTTTTTTGGCTTTCTCATTTGTTTAACCAATAGAAAAAATTTTATAATCTTTTTTAACACTTGATCCTCATGTAAAATCATTAGATAAATAACTTTTGTATTTAACATTTTACTCCAAAACTAAAATTTTCCGAGATATTTAATAAAAACTGCGCTTGACCAATCCCTGATTTTAATTTCCAATCGGGAAATTATTATAAATCGAGTGACGTTACTGAACGGGTAAGAAAATTTGAAAGTAAAATTAGGCTCAAAAAACTCTAAAATTAAATTGGTCAAGTAGTAATTTTCAAGACAAACGGCGTGAAAATTTGAAGTTTAAAAATTCACGTGCTCTAAATATAATAAGTGCTAATGTGAATGAGAGTGCAACAGGAGAAATTTGTCAACGTGAATGCCTTGTGTAAAGAGACAGAGAGATAATTATTGTAGCTATTTATATATCATCTAATACTTCTATTCACAAAATAATTACATTTATTTAAGAACAACTATTAATGTATACAGACGAGTGTTCTGCAATACTTCAAAAAGATTATAAGATTTCTATAGTAGTAAGCAGAGATTTTAATGTTAACTCTTATTCCGAAGATGCTGTAGCATTAATTCAAATTTTAGAAGAAAAATTTAACTTAAATATGATTAATGACCCATTGCAACCGACCACTAAATATGGAACAATCATCGATGTCGTCTTTGTTCCTTATTTAGATAAAATTGCATCACTGATGTATATTTTATATTTTTTGGACCACAAGCCCATAGTTACAGCTGTTAAAGGCCGAAATGAGATTTCAGGTTCAATTACAGAATTTAATTATAAATGAGCATTAACAAATGTTGTATTGTTTAAGTAAAATAATGTTAATAACCAATTGCTTACAAATTATATAATTTAAAGAACAAGTTTCTTTATAAAAAATCTCAAGTAAGCTTCGCTACTTCCATGGGTCCCGTAACTCATAGATTTTTTAAAATTATGTGTCTTATTGCAAGAAACATGATAAATTATAAATCTCTGACAATTGAGCTAATATAAATTTTTTATTGGTGGTTTTTAGATTCTCGGCGCTCCAGATCTTGTTGACGGACTATACATTCGCTACCGCGAAATGTCAGATCAGCCGCCTGAATATCAAATGGTTACTGTTATGAACGCTGGAGCCACTAGCTACGTACTGACAGGCTTAAAAAAGTATACGCGTTATGAATTTTTTCTGGTGCCATTTTATAAAACCATCGAAGGAAGGCCAAGTAATGTAAGACTCGCAATGACGCTTGAAGACATACCATCGAGCCCACCACAGGACGTTCACGTTGGCATGATAAATTCAACGTCAGCATTCGTTAGATGGTCCCCACCTCCAAAAAATAACCACAATGGACAGCTGGTTGGATATAAGGTAATCAAAATTATGAGTCATGTTATATGCAAATTTCAGTATGTGAGACTGCATACATGTGATTTAGTATTAAGGTACGCAAAGAGAAAAATCATGGGTTTGGCCAATAACGGCTATGGAAAGCCCCTCTCCCTTCTTTCCACTCAGAAACAGTACGTTCGAATCATAAGGTCAATGCTTTTTACAGTTTAAATAAAAAACATTTTTTACTTGTTATTTGGCTCACTTTAAAAGAAAAAGGTATTTTCAATTTTTTTTGTCGAGGGCTTAAGTTTTGCCTATAAAAATAATAATAATTCATAATTATAATTCATTCGTCCCCGATGGCACTTATCTGACTTCGCATGCTTCGCAGATCCCTCGAAC